GCGCGAGACGCAGCCTCACTCACCAGACCCGGACCTGTCACTCAGGGCTCGGCTGAGGGCAAGCGCACGCTGGATCCGCAGAGAGAGCGCCCGGCAGGAGCGCACTCTCAGGGCCGCCCATGGGGTCTCATGGCGGGAGGGAGACCCTGGCCTCGGCTCAGGGTCCTCACACCGGCTTGGGACCGCCGGCCCTGGGCTGTGCTGACCGCTCGGGGCAATCAGACCACGGACTGGGCCGGAATCCAGGCCAGCCCCAGGGGCTCGGAGCAGCCTGTCTGGGAGTGTGGCCGCTCCCTACCCGAGTGGGGTCTCCCCAGGGACCCCAGCAGGGCCCCCACAGACGCCAGAAGGGGTGTGGGGAGATGAGCCCCGGAAGCACTCCCTGGTGGCTGCCGCTGCCCCTGCGCCCCGGCGGATGTGCCCACCTTTCACGATGAGCGAGGCCTTGGAGGCGAGGCCCCCCACGGAGAAGACCACCTCCCCGCCGTCACCGGGCGCGGCGTCAGTGACTGTCAGCAGGTGTCTCCGGCCCTGGCAGGTGGCGCGGAAGCGGCTGGAGCTGCCCACCGTCTTCCCACCAACCGTCCACACGGCTGGGTCGCCCGTGCTCTCGTGGGACAGGACGCACTCGAAGGTGCAGCTCTCGCCTGCCAGCACCTCCGTCGTCCTCAGCCTCTTGGTGATGCCCACGTGCAGCTCTGCGGGCCACAGACACAGGTCAGCCCGTGGCCCCAACAGGATGGCGCCGCCCTGGGCCGGACCCCCAGGAAAGACCAGACCCGGGGGGGCCAGGCCGTGCTGCCCGCCATCAGCAGGTACCCTGCGCCTAGAGCTGGCCACGCCCTGGCGTCTGGGTGACTGAGATCGCTGAGCTACACTCAGCTCAAGGTGGCCGAGAGCACAGACCGCCGGCAATTGTCACAGGCTCCTAACATCCTGGAGAGGAAAGATGGGAGCCCGGAGGAAGCAGGGCCCCAGACGGCCACCCTTGGGTGAGTCAACCCAGACGCCTCCGGGGCTAGGATCGGGACCGCAGGTAGCTGGGCAAGGACAGTGGCACACTCAGGGCCCAGGCAGCCACCCTGTGGTTGAGGGACCCGGCCCGGCTGAGAGGGACGTGCCCCAGGGGGACCACACCCCGAGGCCAGGGAGGGGCAGGGAGACGACAGCTCCACCCTGCCAGCCGGCGACCTCGGGAAGGCCCTGCTGGCCGGGGACGTGGCCACCTGCAGCCCCCCCTGGGGTCTCAGCTGCTTCCTCCCCACCCCCAGGAGGCTCCCGGCCTCCCCGGTTCAGCCGAAAGCTGCTCGTCTCAGTGAACAGGGTGGGCTGCCCCTGCAGAGGCCGACCTCGCAGCCACGCACCCCTGGCCGACCTCGCAGCCACGCACCGTGCACGGTGACCTGGGCTCGCGTCTCCTCTGCGCCCACGCGGCAGGTGTACAGCCCGGCGTCCTCGGGGCTCAGGTCGTGCACCACGAGCCCGCGCGTGCCGGCCTTGTGCAGGAAGTCGTACTTGTCGCTGGGGCCCAGCGGCACGCCGTCCTTGTGCCACGCCACGCGGGCCTCGGGGTGGGACACCTCGCACTGCAGGGCCAGGGAGCCGCGCGCCTCCGCGGACACGTCGTCCAGCGCCTTCAGGAATACCACCGGCCTCGCTGTGGGGGGCGCGGGCTGGTGAGGGGAGCCCCCCACCTCGGGCGGGCCCCTCAGGCTCCCGGACCCGCGGGGACGGCTCACCTCGGACCTCCAGGCGGGCGGAGGCCGACACCTTTGGGGAGGCCGCGCGCACGGTGCCCGCGTCGGCCAGGCGCACGCTCTTCAGCACCAGCGTGTGGCGCCGGCCCTCGTGCGTGATCTCGTGGAAGCTGTCGTTGTACACGGGCGCCCCGTTGAGCGACCACTCGACCTCCTCGTCCTCGTGGGACAGCTCGCAGGAGAAGCTGACGCGGCCCTCCTCCACGGCCTCGGCGTCCTGCGGCGGCTGTGTCACCGTCACCTCCCGTGCTGCGCGGGGCGAGCAGAGACTCAGCACCCGGGCGGCCGGCCGCGCCTGTCCCCGGAGGCCCTCCCCACGCCCGCAGGCCCCGCCGCGCCCCACCTTCCACGGTGACCTCGGCGCTGCTCTGGGCGCTGCCCGCCTGGCAGCGGTAGACGCCGGCGTCGGCGGGCGTGAGCCGGAGCACGCGCAGCTCGGCCATCTGGCCCTGCAGGCTCATCTTGCATTTGTCGGAGGGAGACAGGGGCGTGTCGTCCTTGTACCACTGCACGGCCTTGGGGGGCGGCCGGAAGTCACAGGACAGGACCACCGACTGCAGCTCGCGCCCCGTCTTGGGCTCCAGAGGCCGCACGAGGACCACAGGGATGTCTGCGGGTAGGGGAGAGGCTGGACTGAGGGGCCGCGGGAAACCCACCGCCCAGCCTGCTGCCGAGGGCCCACCTGTCCACCTGTGGATCCCAACTGCCTCCTCTGTGCCCTGAACTACGTCCACCCGTGGCCCTGAGCCATGTCCACTTGTGACCTGAACTGTATCCACCCTGGTCCTGAACTACGTCTTCTTATGGCTCTCACCTGTGTCCACTCATGGCCCTGAGCCACAGCGACTCGCGGCCCTGGACCGTGCCCACACGCGGCCCTGCCCCGTGTCAGCCCACGGGCTGAGCCTCACCTGAGACCACGAGGCGGGCGGAGGAGCGGGACTTGCCGATGGTGAAGTGCACGGGCCCGGTCATGGTGGAGCAGGTCCGCCGCAGCGCCAGCCGGTGCACCGTGCCCTCCTGCTCCAGGCCCACGTCCGGCCCGGCCTGCAGCACCGTCTTCCCCAGGAGCCACTTGGGCGGCCGCACGGAGGGGATGGAGGTCTCGCACTCGAACCAGGCAGGCGCGGGCTCCATCACCGTCACGTCCTGCAGGCCCCGCACGATGGTGATGGATTGCTCTGCGGGGCATGAGTGGTCACCAGTGGGTCCCACGGGGACATGGCCACCCCCTCCCGCAGGCTCCAGCTCCTTACGGGGAACCAGCCCTGTCCCGCCACACCCAGCGCACGCTCGCTTCCCGCCCCGCTGCCCGGGAGCGCCGCCTGGCCCCTCTCACGCCGGCCCCCTCCCCGCCAGGAGCGTGGGGCAAACAGCCGGTCAAAGCCAGAGAGACCCTCCCCACTGGCGACCTCGGGAGCTGCCCACCCGCCCGCCCTGCCCACACCTTCCACAAAGAACTGGGCGCTGGTCTTGACGTCCCCCGCATCGCAGGTGTAGGTGTCCTCGTCCTCGGGCTGCACGTCTCTGATGACCAGCTTGCGGTAGATGCCATCGCTGACCATCTCGTACTTGGGCCCGGGCTGCAGCTCCCGGCTGCCCTTGAACCACCGCACCTGGGCGCTGGCACGGGACACCTGACACTCCAGCACGCCCCGGTGCCTCTCCATGGCGATCTTGTCCCGCAGTGGGCGCAGAAGGGTCACCGGCAGCTCTGCGGGCACAGCAGCCAAGGTAGGAAGTCAGGGCCAGCGCTTGGTACTCGGGCCTCAGGCTCTCAGGCAGCCAAAGGCCCAGGGCCAAAGGTCTGGCACCTGCTTGGCCCCAACAGCCCAGGTGTGCCCGGGTCGGCAGGTGGTCAGGCCGAGTGTCCCCTCTGAGATGGTCCAGGATCCTCCGCAGATAATCTGCCCGCCAGAGAGGTGGGCGCACCCCACCCCCGGCACCCGTGAGTGTTCAGGCACGCGCCTTGTGCCCCACATCCCAGCCCACATCCCAGGCACATGACCTGGTCCCACCTGCCCTCACCCACCCTGCGCTCTCCCTGCCCCGCCCATCCGTGCTCACCCCACCCCACCCACCCATGCTCCTCTGTCCGCACACCCCCTCCCTCACACCCCATGCCCACTCTCCCGTGACGGTCATCACGGCCACCAGGACTGTCATCTCCGCCTGCCAGGGCCGCGCACCCTTCCCTCCAGCACTGACTGCAGCCGGGTGGGGAGAATCCTGTACACCTCCCTGTCAAACGCCGGCTGGGGGAAACCCCCAAGGCTGCGCTGCCACCCATCTTCCCACCAAGGAGGCGACACCCCTTGCCCATCCTAAGTGAGTCACTGTTGTCCCACTCCCAAGATGGCCCGGAGCCCCAGGCGTGTCCTGGATCAGCTGGCCCATGAAACTGCACACACGCGAGTGCATGCACATACATACCTGCACACATACACACACGTGCGCACGCACACATACACACTTACATGCATGCACACACAACGCATACACGCACACATACACTCCCACACACATACACGCACACACTGTGCGGTGCCCCCCTCACCTTTCACTCGGAGCTGGGCTCGCGATTCTGCGCTTTCCGCTACAAACTTGATTTCTCCTGCGTCCTCCGCCAGCACCCTCCAGTAGATGAGCGTGTGTGTCCTTCCTGGGGAGACGGGCGCTCAGTGCGGGCGGGAGCAGGCAGAGGGGCCGCGTCCCAGCCTGCCGCCGCCTACCTTCCTGGCGGATGCGCACGTTGTCGCTGGGCCGCAGCTTGCTGCCCTCGCGGAACCACTGGACAGGCACCTCGTCGTGGGACACCTCACAGGAGAAGGTTGCCCCCTCCTTCTCCACCACTTCCACATCTTCCAGGGGCCTCACGATCCGCACGTCGCGGCCTGGGGTGGCGAGGAAGGCCGGGTCGCACCCAGACGCACCTGCGCCCCCAGCGCCCAGCCCGCTGGCACCCTGCCCCGCCCCGCGTCGCATGGGGCCAGCAGGCGCGAGGGGTTGGCCTGCGCGCTGCCCTCACCTTGCACCTTCACAGAGGCGGAGCTCTGGGCGTCCCCCGCGTCGCACACGTACATGCCCTGGTCCGAGAACTCACAGCGGTAGATGACCAGGCTCCTGCAGGCGCCCTGGGCGGCCACGCCCACCGTCTTGCCCGCGCGGAGCTCCGTGCCGTCCTGGGGGGCAGAGGCAGGTCAGGCACCGGGCGGCCCACGGAGCGCTCACTCCGCCGTGCGCGGGAGGCAGCGGGGCGCAAAGCAGTCAGTCCCCAAAGAAAGGGAGGCACCTTCAGCCAGCGCACGTCGACGGGACGCGACAGCTCACACTCCAGGGTCACCTTCTCCTTCTGCGTGGCCACCACGTCCTGCAGCGGGCGGGTGAACCGCACGGGCAGCTCTGGGGAGGCAGGAGGGGGCAGGTGAGGGACAGCGAGCACACGGAGCCAGGAATGAGCTCCCGGCCGGGATTCCACGTCCTGGTTCCCTCTGTCCCCACCCGCCCCCCCAAACCCCCTGAGGGACAGGGGCGAGCGTGGCTCTGGAGTGGGTCCTACCCACCGCAACCCACGCACCGGAGACGACGAGCCGCGCGGACGTATGCACGCCCTCCGCCTTGAAGGCCACCAGGCCGCTGTCCTCAGGCCGCAGCCCCGAGAGCGTGAGCGTGTGCGTGGGGCCGCGCACGGCGAGGACGCACGTGGGCCCGGGCTGCAACCGCAGGCCGTCGCGCGTCCAGGTGCCCTCCACGTCGGCGTGAGACAGCTCCACCTCCATGGTGGCCGTGCCCTGCTCCCGCGCCGCCACCTCCTGCAGGCCCCGCACGAGGCGGACCTGGCGCACTGTGGGACCCAGGCGGGGCGCGGGTGAGCCGCTGCGCGGAGACCCTCCCCTCAGAGCCTGTGCAGGGCGGCCGGCTTCCCGCGGCGGTGGAGCTCAGGGAGGGCCCCAGCGGCACCCAACCCCGCCCCAGGACCAGCCCTCCCGGCCTCCTTCCCGCTCCCCCTCCCTCTCCATGACCCACCCCCAGGCCCAGGGCGCCCCGCCCCGCCCCGCCCCCAGGCTCACTCTCCACCGTGAGCTTGGCCTGCGTCTTGTCGTGGGGCGTCTCGCAGCCGAAGAACCCGCGGTCGGCGAACCCCACGTTGTGCAGAACCAGGCGGTGCCGCGCGCCCTCGGCGTGGATCTCCACATTCTCGCCCCGCGCCAGGGCCACCGCATTCCGCGTCCACCGCAGCTCAGGCCACGGCCTGGTCAGCTCCACTTCCAGGGTCACCGAGCTCCGCTCCTCCACCGTCTGCGGCTCCAGCTTCCTCTTGAACAGCACCGGCGCCTCTGGGGCGGCGGCAGGGGCACGGTCAGGGCGGCCGTCGCCCACCCCCACCTCCGGAAGCCGGCACAGAGGACGCGCCCTCTCCAACTCCAGGCAGGGCGCAGGTGTGCCCACACACAGGCACCCGCCGCGCACCTGCACGAGTTCATGGGCCCAGAGAGGCTTCCGCCCCAGCGCCCCCCACGCACCCCCCTTCTGCTGCCCTGCTCTGCACAAGGCGCCAGTGCCCCGAACGCCGGAATGTGGCCCTGGCCAGCAGCACTGGGCTCCGGGAAACCCAAGAGGCGGCGCACTGAAAACCCCCAGACGTGTCTCTGCTTTAACAAGGTTCTGGGTCGCATGTGCACGTTAAGACATGGAAAACAGGTTCTGGTGGGCCTCTCAGCTCTAAGATGCCTCCTTGATCACTCCGCTCGGTGCATCTGCCTACATCACTGCCTCACTCAAGAACCTGCCATGGCTCCCACTTCCCTTCAGGTGAAGTTCTGGCTCTTTGGCTTCAGCAGCATGAGCCGCTCATCCCACTCCTGCCTCCACAGTGCACTGGCTGCCACCCTCAGCCCTCTCCCTGCCATCCATGGGGCTCAGCATGGGCCCCGCCTCCAGGAAGCCTCCCTGGATCGCCTCAACTTCTGCCTGGTGTGCCTGCAGGATTGTACCTTCTCCCTTCGAGAGAAGGCGCCCAGCCCCTCAGGCCCACGCAGATCTCTTCTCTGCACCAGCCAGACCTCCTGTCCCTGGAGGTCAGCTAGACCAGCAGGGAGGCTCCCACTGCACGACGCCGCTGGCCCCACACTCACCTCGGACCCGCAGGGCCGCGGAGGAGGAGGCGCCCTCCGCTTCTGCGGTGATCTGGCCCGAGTCCTCCAGCGCCAGGCCCGAGATGGTGAGGCTGTGGCCAGCGCCGCTCTGCGCGATGACAAACTTCTCACTGGGCTGCAGCGCGGCGCCCTCCCTGTACCAAGTGACCACCGCATCGCTGGGGGACACCACGCACTGGAAGGTGGCCTCGCAGCCCTCCTCCGCCACCACCGGGCTCAGCCCCGAGGTGAACTTGACCACGCGGGGCACTGCGGACAGGAAGGAGAATGAGAAGGAGGCCTGCTTCAGAATCGGCGGGTAGGCAGGAGCGGAGCAGCGCCGCCCTGCAGGCGCCGCAAGAAAGGACACCTCCTCCAGGAAGCCACCCGGGAACACGCCTGCACCCAGGCCCCCGCGCCTGCGTACCGCTGACCGTGAGGCTCGCGCTGGTGCTGTCGTCGCGGCTCTCGCACACGTACTCCCCCGCGTCCTCGGCGCGCAGCCCGGAAATGGTGAGCGAGCGCAGGGGGCCCTCGGCCGCCATCTGGAAGCGCTTGCCAGGCCGCAGCTGCGCGCTCCCGCAGCGCCACACCACCTCCGCCTGCGCGGGGCTCAGCTCGCAGGCCAGCATCACGGTGCCGCCCAGCTCCCCGCTCGCCGGCTCCAGGGCCCGGCAGAACTTGGCGGCCACCTCTGCGAGCACACGAGGACGTCGGCCGCGGCTCTGCCCACACTGCCCATGTGCCCTGAGCGCCCCCACTGCCTGGCTTTGAGGCCCTGGGGCCGCCACCGCCCCCAGCTCACCTTCCACCTGCACCGGGAAGTCCTGGCCCTGGCCACCCACACGGCAGCTGTAGATGGCGCTGTCCGAGACCTGGGCACCACGCACAGTGAGGGTGTGCGTATCACCCAGGCTGGCCGCCTCGTGCCGCTTGCTTCTGCGAATCTCCACGCCATCCTTGAGCCATGTCACCGAGGCCACGGAGGGTGTGGCCAGCGTGGCGGTCAGGACAATGTCTTCGTGTTCCCTGACTACCAGAGGCTCCCTGCGGCCGGGTCTCTCTGGAACGTGAGGTTCAGGCTCTGGGGGCAGGAAGCCGGCATAAGAGCAGGACCGCGGCGCTCCTGCACCGGGCGGCGCTGCCCTTCAGGGCCACATGGAGGGAGGAGACCAGCAAGCAGACCGCCTGTAGTGCCCACTGCCCTTCAAGTGCCACCCTGTCCAGGCTCAGCAGCATGGGCCACCATCGGCATCCCAGGGACCACGCAGCCCAGCCCACATCCCCAAACAAGGCCATGTCTCCAGCCCTGGCACCCACCTGCCACGTCCAGGCGGAAGGAGACCCTCTGGCCCCCGGCCTCGCAGCTGTACTCCCCGGCGTCCGCCACGCCCGCCTGCGCCACCACCAGCCGCCGCTGCCTCCCCTTTGCCTCCACGCGCACTTGGGAGCTGGGGCTCAGCGCTTCCCGTCCTGTACACGTCACCTCCGTTGCGCCTGCGCACCTCGCGCTCAGCGTGGCGTCCGCCCCTGCTGGCCCCCGCACCTCGATAGCGCTCTGGCTGCTCCCTTGGCGAACACCAACGCCGGGCCTCTGGGGATGGACGGGGGAGGGACACGGGTCAGTAGACGCCAGCCAGACGCAGCCCATCATTCAGGGCCTGGGCTCGCCCTGCACCCAGCGGTGCCACGCGACGTGTCATGGCGCGGGCAGGGCCCGCGGTGGTGGCGGCGCGAGCTGTCTGGTGCGGACCAGTCCACGCGGGGGCCCTCTGCGCCAAAGGACAGCCGCTCCCAGCTCGGGTCTCCTGGCGACCCAGCCTGTCACCCCTCCTGCCGCTCCCCGCCACGCAGAGACCCCAGACAGAGGCACGGGGCAGGGGCGGGAGGGACGGTCCCCCTCGAGCACCAGACCAGGAACCTGTGCCCTAGCTGGCCACGGGCTCACAGGGACAGAGAGCCCAGTGCAAGGGCAGCCAATCACAGGCCAGTTCAGTGCCAGGGCAGCCAATCACCAGCCAGCTCAGTGCCAGGGCAGCCAATCACAGGCCAACCGAGTGCCAGAGGGGTCCTCAGGAGAGCGGTGGCTGAGCTACGTGTGGTCTCCGCTGTGTCCAGGCTCAGTGACAGGGTGACAGACCAAGGCAGGACGTGAAGCAGGGAAGAGACAGATGACACGTGGAGATCACCAAGGGGCCAGCACACAGGGACAGGGGGGCCACACGGCTCCTGCCACCTGCAGGCCTGCTGTCCAGTCCACGGACGTCCTCCTCTCACATCCCCCGGACACCACAGCAGGGGTCACCTATACCTCTCTCAGATTTTCTTCGACCTCATTATGACCGCACAGCCACCCACCATCCCCACCACACCCGGAACTCGGCCACACGGGGCGCACTGGGCAAGCCAGCTACAGCCTGCTCTGCCTCTGTGACAGGAACGGACACTGCCCGGGAGCCACCAGGCAGAGCTGGAGACCACGGCTCTGGGCAAACAGAGGGGGACCGCTGCCCAGGGCCCTCCCATGCACCTCAGCTGGCCCAGGCCCCCAAAATGCCCCCCTGGGTGCCCCCCGGGAGTTTTCACGCCTGGACGTGGAAAGGGGGGTCCCCCCTGAACCATCTGCCCAGGCCCTTGGCCCCAAAACCCAACCCCTGCCACGTCCCCCAGGTGGAAGGAGACCTCCTGGCCCTGGGGCCCCTCCGCAGCCTGTTACTTCCCCGGCGTCCCCGCAAGCCCGCTTCCTTGCCCACCAACCAGCCGCCCGCTTGCCTCCCCCTTCCGCCTCCAAACAAGCACTCGGGAGCCCTTGGGGGGCCCCTTCAGCCCGCTTCCCGTTCCTTTTTGTACCCACCGTTCCCACCTTCCGTCTCCGCTGCCGCCACCCTCGCAGCTCCAGCGGGTTGGGCCGCCGGCCCCCCCGCCCTCGGGCCCCCTGGCACCTCGCTGCGCCTCCCCGGGCTTGCCCTTTCCATTGGCGGGAAACCCAACGCGGGCCCCCTTTCCTGGGGGAACGGACCGGGGGAAAGGGGACCAACCCGGAATCCAAGAGAAAACCCTCCCAGGGTTTCCCAAAGGGAAGGCCATCGGCCTGGGAGGGAAGAAATTGGGGGGAAGGCCCAAGAGGACCCCAGAGTAGGTCCTCCCAGGCCCTTCCCTGTTACCAGGCCGTGTTGCCCCACCCCCGGACCAGCCCCACCCTTCCCTTCTTCCACCAACAAGGTCAAAAGCAAAAACCCACCCCATTCACCTTGGAAAAACCCCCCCCGCGGCTGGGGGTCCAGGGCAGGGGAAAACGGGCCCAGTTCAAACAAAGATTCCCCCTGCCAGGTGGGGTTGTCCCCCCAGGGCAGGACCTTGGGGGTTGGGCCACCCTGCCCTTGCCACAA